CTCCCTCCCATGTCTGTGTGCAGGTGTGTGTGCATGCATACACCATGTGTGGAACAGAACCTGTGTAGTCTAGTAGAAAAAGCTGGGCTCTGGAATGAGACCAAGTTGTAAAGCCAGGCTCTGTCCTTACTTTAACCTTTAAGAGGTTCCTAATGTCTCTGAGCCTCAGGCTCAGTCACCTATAAAATGGATCTGTTTTATAGCCAGCTTTATAGATCAAGGACAAACGTTAACAAGAGCTATACAAAGCCCTTAAGCTTAACGCCTGGCTTACAGCAGAATTCAGTAAACAGCAGCTATCAGGACTAGGCAGTAGGAAAGTTGAGAGGCCAAAGCCCTTTGCTCTCAGAAGCTTGAATGTGTTAAGATCAGGCTTCCAATCTGTGCTCTGAGCTCTACCAAAGTGAAATCTGCAGAGTGGGTCCCAGGGTGGCCTTTCTCTTGGATACGGGAAAGGGAAACAGGAGGTCCCAGCTCCAACTGCTAAAAATAGGTGATGCCAACAGGCTTTGACAGTTGCTTCAGGGCTGGGCAAGACACTATGGAAACCAGGCCTGGCTATTTTCAGGGAGCTGGAGCTATAAGCTAGGCATACAGAGAGTCATGCCAAGAGCTCTGGCACTGCCAGTCCTCTGATTCTCACATCAGAGCTGGGATGGATTTTTGGAGGAGCCTCAATTATGGAGCCATAAGCCAATGGCCAAGTGAACTACTCTGGGTTTCCAGTTGACCCCAATCTCCTTACAAATCCTTCCTCTGATACCCAATCACTTTGCAGATACTGCCCAAATCAATGAAATCAGCAGCCACCTCAGCAGATACTCCCAAAGGGCTCGAGTTTAAATCTGCTAAAGTTTTCCTCCCCTTCTCAGGGGGCTTACCTTAATGACTTTGTTTTTCCCTCAGTTTGCCCAGCTAAGGAGAGGAGACTATTGTCTGGCTATGGTTTGTCCCTCAAGGGGAGTAAGCTGGAAGCTTACACCGAGGTTGGTGGTGCTGAGAAACTTTAACAGGTGGTCTAGTGGAAGGAAATTAGGTTATGGAGGCTTCACCCTCATCATGCCTGTCTTGGGGGAATGGTCAGGTCCATAGAGATTGGGTTCCATCTCAAGTGAGTAGGCTATTCTAAAGCTAGGCCATCCCCATGTGTGGCCCCTTCTGCATGCAACTTTTTCCTTTTCTTTCCGTCATGTTACCATGCAGTTCAAAAGCTGACCAACTGGGGCCACAGGATATTGGACCTGTATCTTCTAAAACTATGAGCTATATAAACCTATATAAACCTATATAAAGTAAGGTACTTGGTTATTGCCACAAAATTGATTAAGACAAAGACTCACAATTCATGTTCCAGACTATAAAACCTTTCCAATTCCACTAACTCTCTTCAATTTCCTGGTAAAATAGACGTTACTACTCCACTTTATACTTAGGAACCTTGAACTCAAGGACCTAGTGTAGTAGGACAAGCACGTACACCTGGAATTGCCTCAGTAGGAGTCTAACCTATGCTACTCACTAAGAGACTTGCCAAGATCTAACAGATGGAAAGATCTGATAATTGTATCTCCTAAGGTTCCTTGTGAGGCTAAATAAAAATGTGCCAGGTTGTGTGCCTTGCCCCCAAGAGTTATGAAAAGGAAGAAGTCTGAAGTCTTAGGATGTAGTATAGGATCTAGGATCAAGTTCTGTTTTATATAGGCAAACAAGGAACTTGATGCCATGTGAACAAACTGCCAAAAAAAGGAAATAGGGTCTGAAGGCTGCCTAGAGAAAAAATGCTTTGGGAACTCAGGGCATGCTTTGTAATTGCTGGGGTGGGGGGCAGAGAGGGTGCGAGATTATCTTGGAAGTATGGACAGATACATAAGCAGAGTAAAAAGGGCCTTTCAAAGGGAGGATCAGCACACACAACGCCATAGATAAGAGCAAGCATCAGTAAGATGCAGCTAAGAAATCAAACACTGGGAGGAAGGATGGGTTCTGGGTGTGCTGCCACTGCCGCACATCTTCTAACTTAAGGGCAGGCTAGGACCCCCACATAGGTCTGTACAAGGAGGAAAAATAGTTCACCCCCCTAGAGGGAGGTGCTGGAAAGTCTTGAGGACCCACTGAGTCTGAGTACGTGCAGGTGTCTGCCCTGGGAAGGATGCCTGGGTCCTGCTGTGAACATCCCTCCTGCTGTACCATGGCAGGGCACTGGCAGGTAGGAAGGCCTGCTGGCCAAATCAGAGGAGGCTCACAACCAAGATTTTTGTAATGGACTCATATCCATGAATATGAGGGAGGCTGAGTGACTGAGAGTCACCTGAGGAGGAGGACATGCCAGCAAAACAACAGGCACTTGGTTCTAATGGCAGAAATGGTGGAGACATTCTTTCTAACTGTAGGAGACTTGGGTACAGGCACACCTTCTTCTTCAAACTCAGTTATGGGCCAGAATTGGAAGAAGACTTGGAGTTCAGGCTTAAGAACTCTAATTTATACACAAGGCAACAGAGGGCAAAGGGAAAAGGTGGTTCATAAGATTGGTAAGAGGCAGAGTCAGGAATAGGGTCCAGGGATGACTCTGGGTCGTAGATATCCTAACACAAAACCCACCACAGAGTTGACAGAACACAGAAGGCAGAATGGAGGGAGTTTCGGGAAGGCAGAGGGCTGAAGAGTATCAGAGACACAGCCATAAGACATTGAGGATGGGGAGGAGGAGGTGGAGAACAGGTGGGTACAGGTGTAGAAAGGAAACATAGAAGTAGGCAGAGTCCTCTCTCTTAAGACAGAGACAGGACAGACAGGGAGAAGAAAGGGAAACCTGGAAGTACAGAGCAAGACAGCTCAAGGTGTTCTTGTTAGTGACTTCAGCCTTTTCAGTAGATGAAGCCAGCTACTAGACAGCCTTTGTAAAGACTAGCCTAGAGGTCTTGGTCATGAATCAGAAAGAAAACCATTGGTATCAAGGCATTAATTAGAGACCAAAAGGCTTCAAGGTGCAGTTTGGGGGTTTCCAGTTGACTGAAATTGTGATCTGATCTGTGCCTTTCTCCAAGAGCCTGGGAAAAGCCACAGAGGAAATCCATGAGCCTGCATCTTAGAGGAAGCAAGAGAACAGGGCAGTAGAACCAAAAGCTGGGTGGGATACATGTTAGGTGGCTGAGGCTTGGAGTGGGTGGGGAGGAAGGCAAGGAAGACAGTAGGAGAGGGGGTAAGATGGGAGGGGCCTGTAAGGACCGAGGCCAAGAGAGGGGCCAGAAGAATGAAATCAAGGAAAGTTGTCCTGTAACAGGGAATGACAGATTCTAGGATGGTGAGGGGTAACAGGACCAAAGGGAATCTGCTTGAGGTTTGCTCAAATGAAGCTGAAAGGAAAGAGTCTGGAATAAATAATCAGAAAGGTTAGGCACTTGAATCCTGAGGTTGCTGAGAGGAAGAGCAGGAGAAGCAGCTCAACTTCCAGGAAGCAGGACTGGGTAAGAAGGCAGCAGGGATGTGCCTCCCCAGGGCCTAGTAGGCTACAGAGCATCTCCAACTAACAAACAGAAAAGAAATCAGGACCAGCCAATCAAGGATGCAATAACTATGTTTATGGGGGGCAAGGGGGTAGAGGGAATCTGCTGAGCACAGAGAGGAAGTCCTGAGGGTACAGAGGAAGTGGCTGGTGTTGAGAGGATGCATACACCTATGGAGGGTTCCCTTAGGAGGCATTGTAGCCAGGAGCATTTACATCCAGATTAAGTTCTGTCACCTCAGGGCCCATCCTCCCACTGACATTCTCCAGCAGACTCAATTCCCAGAAACCAATTTTGAGCAGCTTTATCTTACAGCTGTCACTTGGAGTCCCCAGGAAGTATCTGGTAAGCATCTTTCAGGCATAAAGAGCTCAAGTCTCTAGCTCAAACTCCAGGACCCCAACTTTCAAGACACTGTCTAACCAAGCATCCTTTTCTGTCTTTTGTCTTTTCTTACCTTCCTCTGCTTAACTATTATTACTATTTTATTTTTGGTGCTACTACAAGAGCTTGAATTCAGGACCTACCACTCTCATTCACTAACGGCTGTTGCTCTATCACTTGAGTTAATCTCCAGTTCCAGCTTTTTACAGGTTAAGTAGAGATAAGAGTCTTAGGATTTGTCCACTCAGGCTAGCTTTGAACTACACAATCCTCATATCTCAGCCTTCTGGGTAACTAGGATGATAGGCATCAGCCACCAGTGCCTGGCCTTTAATTATTCTCAACTCTAACTGCCACCTGTCATGGTACTCATACCATCTACATTCACTTCTTTATCTACAAGGCACAGAAGAGGGTACAGATTACAATAGGCGTTCAATGAACTAACTTTAAGACTGTTGAATAAATCACTTTGGGATATCTTGTTGGGAAGGGAAACTATGAAGTCATTCTTGCTTTCAAAACAGGAGTTCTAATCTTTGTGGGGGACACTCATCCCTGAATCTCCATCAGGAGTAGCTTTGCCTCTTGGAAAACAAGGGACATCCAGGCTGATGAGAGCCTGCAAGCTGGTTCTTATGCAATGCTGCGGCCTATTCTGATTGCTCCCCATCCCTGCCACCTGCTTGGGACTCAATTGCATTCACATCACTTGCTCCCTACCCAGTCAAACTCCACAAGAAGATGGTAACACAGTCTCTTCTGCTGATTAAAACTAAAAGCAGCACCATGGAGAATTTCTATAATGGTATGTCTTCCTCTTCCTACCTACTCTAGAAATGTGCCCATAATGCAACCCTATGCTTAGCAATGTTTCCTGCTATACACTACGCACCAATTCCCCTGGTTTTTGGCCACTTCAAGGATGGGGAGATCCAACAAGCACCACAGATGCATTTCACTGGAGCACCATCACCACCTGCCAATGCTCATTACTAGAACAATATCACAGTTTCATTCCTATTTTTCTCCACCAATTTCCAGCAACTGTGGATCTGCAATTAACATGAAAAGCCAATCTGTCCTGAAATGAATCGAAGCAAAACATACCGCAACCTGGGCCGAGTCGAGGAACTGGAGGCCAAAGTAATCTGTTTCCACAAGGTCCAAGTGGTACACGATCTGATCAAACAAATCCTGGCCTTTGGCATGTTTCTGCAAGACAAATGGAGAGATGACAATTTTAGAATATGACGGCTGGATTAGTAACTAAAACATTTTTTTAAAACACCACTTCTCTCTATAAATTGCATACATGTGCACAATTGAAAAAAATTAACTGGCCTTATTTAGATGAAACACAAACACCTAATAAGAGAAATTCAAATGCGGTGTAACAGTATGATGTTAAATACCCAGATAAGCACTGTTAAGCCTTGCTAGTCTCTCCTCTCCCTACCAGAAAAAAAAGCTTTTTGGGAGAAAGCCTACGTCAGGCAATTCTGAGGAGAGGTATGCAGGGCTCCGCTCCAGCACAGCAGAATCCCCACCACCTCCCAGTGAGGAGGCCTCAGGCAATCTGCTACTCCTGATGAATTGGCTCTTTCTGGCCTGTGGCCCCACAGAGCAAGTAGAAAACAAAAGACCACTATAGATCACAGTTCAGAGAGCTGGAAGTCAACTCCAAATTCCAAGTACACTGCAAGGTTCTGACTAAATGAGATGTGAGCACAAAAGAAGAGTCCAGACACAGAGGCTGCACCTGCCGCTTTTAGCAGGTGTGACCTGGAACAGGTATTTCTCCTACTGCTTCTCTTCCTGGCCTCCTCCTGTTCCTTGGGAAGATTAAGAAGATCTCAAATGAGAGCCACTCCAGGAAGACTAAAGTCTCTGACACACAAAAGGCTTATTAGTACTCACTCAAGCAGAACACAGGCATAAGACTCAGAGAAAAAGTAAGCATATCATTGCAAATATGCTAAAATCTTAGTATCAAAGAAAATAAACAATAACTTCATTCACTGACTAGAGAACCAAGTCTTTATTATAAAACCTGGTATGTGAAAGCACCCAGCACTGACATGACCTTTAATTGAAGCATGGGGAACCAAAAATGTAGCAGCAGCATATACAGAGGTTAACTAAAAATGGATCACAGGCCTAACTGTGAGAGTTAAAAACTCCCACATTCTGAGAATATAAAACTCTCAGAACGAAACAGGCCCTACCAGGCATAATGGTATATGCCTATAATCCCAGATCTCTGGAGGCGGTAGCAGGATTGTCAGTTCAAGGCCAGTCTGGGCTATAGAGTGAGATGCTGTCTCAAACAAACAACTAAAACCAGATTATTCTAATTCAACAATAAATACCAAATTTTAAAACGATCATAGAACATGTATACATAGTTCTCCAAAGATACAGAAACAGCCAATAAACACAAGAAAATATGCTCAACATAGGCACAATGCTTCATGACCTGTAAGACATGTGTTGGTGAAATGAGTTCCCTTCCCATAGTTTGGTATACTCCTGCCCCTCTCCACAGCTTAGCATGCTCCCTTCCTAGGCAACACTAGGCCCACTTAGTAAAGGCAGTAAATAATCAATCTCTGGCCCCCTCTACCTTGGGATGGCACTCCTCTGGGGCAGCTACCACCATATAAGGCAACAGAGGTCCCTTAGAGTGACCTTCAGGTCTGGGCAGTTGCAGGGCCCTTATCTACTATTTGGACAGCAGCCATAAATCCTAGTCTGCCATGATGAAGCCCCTGGCCCACACATCCACACCAGGGTCTCTGCCTCTTAACCCTTTCTAGCCCCTCCTAAACCTCCTAGGTTCTATAGGTCACCTCAGACAATAGCTGGTGCTTCGTCTCACTTCTCCCTTGTGAGAAGGGGTCTTGCCGGCCCCTTTCCCGGCAATAAACCTTTCTTTGTTCTCTGTACCTGGATGTCTGCGTGGTTCTCTGGCAAAGTCTAATTTACCCTATCAATATGCACCAAAGTACAAGCAAAAAACAATCATCAGAGGTAAAACTTTCACACTTCATGGGATAAAAAGTGTCAAAAATGTGTAGACAACCTAGATTAGCAGAAAATTATTGTCAAGCATATACAGTTGTTCTCTCTATATCTGAGGGAGATTGTTTTTACAGGACAATCCAAGAATATCCAAATACTTGGATGCTCAAAAGTCCCTTCTAGCCGGGTGCTCATGCCTGTAATCCTAGCTACTCAGGAGGTTGAGATCTGAGGATCACAGTTCAAAACCAGCCCAGACAGGAAGGTCCTAGAGACTCTTATCTCCAATAAACCACTCAGAAAACTGGAAGTGGTGCTGTGGCTCAAGCAGTAAAGTGCTAGCCTTGAGCTGAAGAGCTGAGGGACAGTGCCTGGGCCCAGAGTTCAAGCCTCATGACCAACAACAACAACAAAAAAGTCCCTTCTATAAATAGCATATTTGCACAGGCATATCCTCCCATATGCTTTAAATTATCCCTATGTTACTTAACACCTAATACAACATAATACAATATAAATACTAGGTATATAGTTGTTATACTGTTTGGAGAGCAATGACAAAAAAAGTGTGTGTATGTTCAATGGAGATACAAATATTTCTAATAGTTTGGATCCACAGTCATTTGACTACGCGGATATAGAGGTTCAAGTATATCTGATTGGCAATATTATCTAGAATAGAAATAACTGTATTTCAAAACTTAACAAATACCCAATTAAGAATGGCCATAGGGAATCAGGCATCAGTGGTTCACATTTATAATCCTAGCTACTTAGGAGGCATGGTGGTTGGAAGCCAGCCTGGACAGGAAAGTCTATGAAACTTTTATTTCCAAGTGACTGCCAAAAAGTGGGAAATGGAGGTGTGGCTCAAGGGACAGTGCCCAAGTCTTGAATTCAAGAATTGATGTGCATGTGCGTGCGCACATGTGTGTGCCCATACACGCATGCGCATACACGCACATGGGCACCTACACCCACACCCACAAACGGCCATAGGTTATGGGTAGGTAGTTCTCCAAAGATATGCAAACGGCCAATAGACACAGGAAAAGATGCTCCACATCTTTAGTTACTAGGGAAATACAAATAAAAACCACAATCAGAGACCACTTTATACCTGATGGGATAAAAAGGGAAGACTAAATATATATATATATATATAGACACATGCTAGAGAAACTGGAATCTTCATATAGTGCTTATGGCAGTAAAAAAGTGTGCAACCACAATATGTGAGGAAGCACCCCAGCAGTTTTCAAGTGATTAAACAGTACCACTCCTAGGTATATATCCAAGAGAAATTTTAAAAATGTTAAGTTCATGAAAGAACATCTGTATGGATTTTCTTAACAGCCATTATTCATGATCTCCAAAAAGCAGAGACAACCAGAATGTCTGTCAACTGAAGAATAAACCACACACAATATATGCACTTAACAGAGTATTATTTGTCCAGAAAAAAAAAGAAATGAAGCACTTAGATATCACATAGACGGACCTGGAAAATGCTATGCTTTGGTGAAAGAAGCCAGCTACAAATTGCCACACATTGTATGATTCCACTGTGAGAAATGCCCAGAGTTGGAAAACCCAAACATACAGAAATTAGATTAGTGGCTGCTCTGAACTGGGAGCTGGGGGAAGATGGTTACAGTGAGAGTGGGGTTTTTGCCAATAAAATGTCCTATAATTGCTTATGGTGACAGATGTACAACTCTGCTAATGCACTAAAAGCCACTGAATTCAGTACACTCCAGACAGGTGAAGTAAATGATGATATGATTTTCAGCGAAGCTATTAAAAATAGTAGATGAGCCAGTGGCTCATGACTATAATCCTTACAACTTAGAAGACTGAGATCTGAGGATCACTGTTCCAAGCTAGCCTACGCAGGAAAGTACATGAAACTCTTATCTCTAATTAAAAACTATCAAAAAAGCCAGAAATAGAGCTATGGCTTAAGTGGTAGAGCACTAACTAGCCTTGAGCAAAAAAGCTCAGGGATAGTACCCAGACCCTGAGTTTAAGTCTTAGGACTGGCATACACTCACACATTCACATGCACACACTATACACACACACACACACACACACACACACACGTACATACACACATGCATACACACACATGGATGGGTGGCATTCTTCTTTATTGAAATAGTCTAACAAATAATTGGAACAAGTGAGGAATACTGAAATATGCCAACAAATCATTGGATAAGACAGATGCAATGTCAACATTTTGTTACTCCAAGCTCAGAACCAAAGAATACTCACAACCCAGAAAATGTGAGAGGCAGCTAGCTTTTGTGTGTCCCCTGATGCAGAACTCCCAGCACCCAAGTCACACTTGCTCCACAATGTCCTCTCAGAGAGAAAGTCTACAAACTCCCTGGGGCGAAGAATCTAGTTTCTTACTTCAACGAATAGAATAAAGGGAAGAGTAGAGATGAAGTAGGTGTGGGGAAAGGTGAGGAAAGGGGCTGGGCATCATTAAATTAAATCAGATTTGAAAAAGGACCAAGAGTGATAGTTTGTGTCTGTGATCCCAGCTACTCTAGAGACAGAGATTGAAGGATCACAACTCCAGGCTGGATAGGCAAAAGCAAAAGATCTTCTGAAAAACAAAGGAAAGTAAAAAGGGAGCAGCCTCCTGAGTAGCTAGGAATAAAGGTGTGAGCTACTGGTGCTCAGTCCAACTTTTCTTTAACACTGATTTTTTGGCAGTTGTCAAACAACAAATACATTTTTTAAAACAACAGCAATAATAGTATTCTGGCACACTTCCTTCTTGCCCCTAACAAGGGATCTTCTGGATATCTTTCCTCTTCCTCTCCACCCTAAGCAACACCTATTATTGTGGCACCAATGCTTTATTAATGGCTTCCCTGATGGGACAGAACTAGTTAAATAAAGCTTTAGCAGCAGGAAAGCAGAAAGAACCAGGCTGGGAAGAGCAAAACACCTGTACTCTGGACCCAAATAAGCCACCAACTGTGTGACCTTAAGCAATTCATAATTTCCCCAAATCCCTTACCACCAGCCCAGGCTTGTCCCATGGCCAGCTGCTGGTGCGGTGCCCTGCATAAACAGGGCCACAAAACTCACCTGGCCCCAAAGCCAATCTGCTCCCCATTGCATCTCTATTTGAGTTCAGGACTTACCATCTGGGTATGATTTCATTACTT